AAAATATTATTATCTGTCATAAAAAAATATAAATAATAAAATTGGTAATATTTTTTCATGTATTTCGACATGTTGTGTTAATTTATTTATTTAAAAATACTAAATTCGACAAATAACCAACTAATATTATTTGATCGATTAGTACAGTACCGAGTTTTTAGTACGTGCAATGTGTCTTCTATATGGTGCAATATGTTGTGTTATAAGGTGTAATGTATTATTGTATAAAGTGCAACATATTAAGTTTGGTATATTAGCATGCTTGTGTGTTTTTTAAAGACGATGGATAATGTGCAACACATTATTTTATAAAGTGCGACGTTCGGCTATGTAAAGTGCAGTAGCTAATTTATAATTTTCTAGATAAATTTTGTGTATAATTAATTAATTATACATCGCATTAACCTAAATAATTAAAATATCTTTTTCTTTATTATTTTATTATACAATTTAATTATTATTATAAAAAAATATATTATTTTAATATACTATATTATTTTTATTTAACAATTTATTTATTATTCAATATATATGCATACCAAAACATATAAACAAATAATTTTTGTATTAACTTTCAATAATTACAGATTTGACACATAGGTTAAATTGAAATATACTTAAAATTGTCAAAATTGCAACTAGATCCCTATACATTATCTAATTCTCAAAACACATGCCCAATCTCACAATCAATTTTTCAGATTTCATCCTGCCCTAAAACCACCTCTCCAAATTCATCTTCATCCTCCACCACCTCACCTGCCGCCGTCCAGCCCTCTCCGGTCGCTGCCCAGCCCTCTCCGGTCGCCGTCCAACTTCTCCCGCCGCGAGGTGAGCTCCGTCTCTAACTTCCAGTTGGGCCAGTGAAATCAACGGCGACATGTTCGAGCTTTGCGACCTCTGACGGTGGAATCCCGACGGCCGCGACCTATAGCAGGAGTATGCTGGCAATGACTACAACGGTGTCGGCGCTTCATGGTAGAGGCGGGTGACGGCAACTGGCCGGAGCTCTTTCACGTCCAGTAGCGGCTGTGTATGGTGGAGATGCGACGACACTTCAGGTACGTTGGTGGCAGGAGGCGGTCGACGGTGGAGGATCTCTCATTCCGGTGGAGGATCTCTCATTCCGGTGGCGGCTGCCGGCGTTCGACGTGGAGGTGTTCTCAGACTGTCGCCGGTGTGGATTCCGGCCGGTAGCAGTGGCGGAGATCGGCCGGTGGCGGCAGAAACACATCATGTGTGTGTGTGTGTATGTATATGTGTATGTGTTTGTGTTTTCTGTGGTGTGTGTGTGTGTGTGCAGCGTGAGTTAATGTGTGTGCAGAGTGTGTGTGTGTGTGTTAGGTGTGTGTGGGCGTGTGTTTTGTACGTGTTAGATGTGTGTGGGGTGATGTGGCATGGTGATGTGTTGTGATGTGTAATGTAATGACCAAAATACCCTTAATGAATGTATAATGCTAACTTTTTTTTAGCCATTAGATCATCCAATCTAACGGCCACGATTTATTCTTATTTC